AAAAAAAAAAAAAAAAAAAAAAAAAAAAAAAAAAAAAAGCAGAAACGAGAAAAAAGGAATAATGGATAAGTGATTCTAAAATATTTTGTAATCTGCAGATGGAAAGTGGTCTTCATCAAAAAACATTTACATGCAATTTTAAAGCAAAACTGGAGATGGATGAGCGGACCTTAAGCTTTTATAGGGGGTGCACGTGCATCCTGTGCTCCCCCCTGGTTACGGCTCTGTGTTTTTAGACATATACACCATTATTTTCGTATTAAGTATTTCGATGGTACAATGTCAAAGACACAGGTGATATTTATTTTTCAAAGTGGCGGAAGGAAATTTACTGTTTTAAATGATTTGAAGGCAGTTGTTGGTTAAATGGGAAGGTCAGGAAAGTCTGACAAAGAATCCATTAGTGACATATATAGTGGGCTGGACCCGGGTGGTACCAAGTTGTATGCTGAATGCTGTTTCCAAGCCAGAAATTATCTTGAGAAACTATTCGACAGCTGGGGATTTAAAGCTGAACAGAACACAAAAAAGAGTTTTGGTCGGTTTGATCGTTTAGCATCAAAAAGGCGACGGAACAATTTGGAAAGTTGGTGGTGCCTGATCATGATTCTCCATGCGTTTGGCCTGGTAACTTTGTCCTTCGGCTCTGGTGCTTGTCAAGACTTAAATTAGGGATAGACCATTAGATAATTTAGGGAGAGGTTGCAGGAATTTATGTTGCACGATACAGTGGCGGATCCAGGGGAGGTTCGAAGGGTTCCACGGAACCCCCCTTGAAGGTTTGATCTTTAAGGTAATAGAAATATGTCTTATATAAATTTTGCTTAAAAGTATCCACAAGGATAATGTTGAACACGAAATGATAGATATTTGCTGTTATAATGTTTAATTTGCCTTTAAGTTCCGTTACTAGATAGTAAATTAGGTGATTAGAGCCGATTTTTTTGTCAGACATCGACTAAACAAAAGAGAATTATACACAGTTTAAGAAACGGAACCCTCCTTTGAAAAATCCTGGATCCGCCACTGCGATATTTAATTTTTTGTAATTACCCCTGTACGAATTTTTTTTTGTATTTGATCAATTTCTTTACTGAAATGAGAGGTTGCATTTTTTTCCTAGGCGAAGTGCTTGCTCGATATTTTTTGGGAGGGATTTACGCAACCCACCGCTGTAAAGTGCTGGTTTATCCCATGGACAAAGAATACTGAAAATACTCAGTTCCCCTCTGTTCTCTTTTCTTCTCTTATTCATTCCTTATTACTATTTCCGTAGCGCGCTATGATGACAGTCAAAACATAACTTATTCATATAGTACTAGTCTATGCGTTGAGTTCTCTTCTCTTCCCTTCTCTTCTCTTCCCTTCCCTTCCCTTCCCTT